CTGAATCTCTGCTGGTAAAAGGAAGTCATTGAGAAGACTCCAGGTGATAGTTTGTTTAAAGCTCGTTCTGCTCCAGTTGATTATATGCATGTGTATCTGGAGGGCCTGAAAAAAACAGCAACAAACCAGTGAGTGAACAAGAAGCAAATAAGGCAGAGATAACTGACATGGTGCCGCGCCCCCCTCCCCATGTTGTTGGACTACAGCTCCCATCGTTCTTGTCCACTGGCCATGCTGGCTGGGCTGATGAGAATTGTAGTCCTGCAACTTACTGAAGACACCATGATGGTTACCCCTGTAGTAAGTAGAAGTGAACTATCCCAACGCCAATGCAGTATCTTTGCTGAACTCACTTTTACCTTTGGTGGGTACTGGAATCAGAAATGAGCCAGCTAGGGTAAAAAACAACTAGGTATGGGGAGTAAGCGGGTGGAGGCAGTAAGGAGGCCCCTTTTTTGCACCAAATCAGCACCCCCCTTTTTTGCTCTTCAGAGCGGACGCCTACCCTCAGCCTCTTTTTCAGAACCAGACGCCTCACAGCCAGTGGCTTGGTCTTCACGCATCTAGCAAAATTTGATGTTAAAAATCCTGGGTTGGTGGAGCAGACTGTGCCATTTCAATATGCTGGGTAGGGATATTGATTTTGGATGCATCCTCACGTGGAAAACTCACTGGGGGGGAGGGAAAGGTCATTTCCTGTTATGCTAATAGAGGGAAGTGCCATATCCCATTGGTAGAACATCCATTTTGCAACCCAAGAGGTCCTAGGTTCAATGCCCGGCATCTCCAGGTAGGATTGGGAGAGACGGTGGTCTTAGAACCCCAGAGAGCTGCTGCCAGTCCGTGTGGACAGTACTGAGCTGGATGGACCAATGGTCTGACTTGGTGTAAGGTTCCTAATTTCTAGTTGATGGGAGGTGTGTGTCTCAACGGAGCTTTCTGAAATGCAGTTCTCCTTTCCTGCTTCATGAAGTAGTGCTGTTGATTCTACCTTGCCATTTGACTTCCTGAGTACAGTGGTACCTCAGGTTACAGACACTTCAGGTTACAGATGCTTCAGGTTACAGACTCCGCTAACCCAGAAGTAGTACCTCGGGTTAAGAACTTTGCTTCAGGATGAGAACAGAAATCGCGCCGCCGCGGTGTGGGGGCAGCAGGAGGCCCCATTAGCTAAAGTGGTACCTCAGGTTAAGAACAGTTTCAGGTTAAGAACGGATCTCCAGAATGAATTAAGTTCTTAATCTGAGGTACCACTGTATCAGACCAGGCTTAGGAAATTACGAAAATTATGTTTATTCAGACCTCTTCAGGAAGAGAAGGGAAACATCAGCCTCTGCGATTGCTATGAAGCCTCTGGGCTGGCCCACTCCAATATAAATAGTGGAGTCTGGCATTCTGTCCCTGCCTGGTCAATAGACCAACGCCTTCTGTTTGATCTCGTAGCTTCTGCATCTACTGATGTCAAGGAGCTGAACTAGAGATTGAGATTCAGCCAACCACAGCCCTAGCCTGTCCTGCTCTGATGGCATCTCTTATTGACACTGCTGTTATTTATTAATATATTGTTACTTTATTGGGCAGAGTTTTCGTTTTGTGTGTCCCGCTGTGGTTGTTTTCAGTTCACTCGTCCTTGTGAGTTCCTGCTAATTTTGGTAACCTTCAAAACAGGAACCATGCCTCCGAAATGACGCTCGTATCTGTGAACTGGCTATACGGGAAAGGGGGTCTTTAATTAGTTTGGAGTGTAAAACATTTATGTAGGATTTCCCAACAGTGGCTGCTTTACTGTCGAGGTCAGAAAGTGTAATTTTGTTTTAATTGTGCGGAGGTCCTGTTTTCCGAGTTGGCTGTAGAGCCATTACAGGAGATGATTATGTGGCAACATATAATTATGTTGAAACAACGTTTTAATAAAGGAGATGATTAATGAAGCCGGTGATTGAAGCATGAGTCACATCAGGAACTGCATGTGCAGATTCTGAACATCCTCTACATTGTGGAGTAGAGAGGGGAAATTGGCCTACTGTGAGGTAAAAGAGAGGGATTTTGCAAAGGAATTGTCTCTGTGGTAAAATGACAGGAGGAAGTCATGACACAATAATATTTTCTGTCAAAAAACAACGAGTGAATTCTATGGGTAATCCAAATGTTAGAGGGACCTTTTCTTTCATGTAAGAGAAAGCTACTCCCCACACCTATGGCAGCCTTTCTATGCTTTGTTCATGGTCCTGGTACCCAGGGGGCAGAAAAAGGGACGCAGGTGGCGTTGTGGGTTAAACCACAGGGCCTAGGGCTTGCTGATCAGAAGGTCGGCGGATCGAATCCCCGCGACAGGGTGAGCTCCCATTGCTTGGTCCCTGCTCCTGCCAACCTAGCGGTTCGAAAGCACATCAAAGTGCAATTAGATAAATAGGTACCGCTCCGGCGGGAAGGTAAACTGTGTTTCCGTGCGCTGCTCTGGTTCGCCGGAAGCGGCTTAGTCATGCTGGCCACATGACCCGGAAGCTGTACGCCAGCTCCCTCGGCCAATAAAGCGAGATGAGAGCCGCAACCCCAGAGTCGGCCACGACTGGACCTAATGCTCAGGGGTCCCTTTACCTTTACCCAGGGGCAGAGGAAGGGGAGCGATCCGCCCCAGGTGTCATCACTGAGAGGCGTGACATTTGGTGCGCTGCCTGCCCACGACTCGCAAGCCTACCCTGAGTCGTCGGGGAAGGAGCAGAGCTGCGCCATCTTGTCGGCAGCCTTTCCTCCTTCGTTTTGACAGCTCGGCAGGCTTGGGAGTCGCGGGCGGGTGCTGCGCCATTGCCCCCCGCTCCTGGGCTGCTTCCTGGAGGGGGAGCCTCCCCTGAGCTGTCAAAAGGAAGGGGGGAGGAAGGCTGCTGGCAAAGCGGCGCAGCTCCCTCCCTCCTGCCCAGGAAGAAGCCCGCCATGGGCAGCTCGCCCCCTGAGATGCTTGCTATGGTGCCCCCCTGGGACGCTCGCCCCGCCCCCATGGCCAAGCCCCTGGGTACACAACATGTGCGCCACTCCGGGTGCTGGAGCAGCTAGCTCCGCCTCTGCTGGTACCAATGGAATTTGAGTCTCCCTGGTGCTACTGGCGACCATTTCTCCCCCTTTTGTAATTACCCGTAAGGGGCAGTCCTCACTCTCTTGGATTTCAAATGCTTATGGAGACAAATCTCATTGACTATACTACATCATCATGGAGCCAAATTAGAGGTAGGGTGATCCTCTTGTCTCAGTCCTTGTAAATTCATCTCAAATTTTCCTGCATGCACGCGGCTTTCCTGTTCAGTTCTTTCTCAGAGAGGTTGTGTAATTCACAATGGGTTGATACACTTCCCTTATTTTCCACCCATATTTTCCACAGCGGGTGGCGCTGTGGTGTAAACCACTGAGCCTAGGGCTTGCTGATCAAAAGGCTGGCGGTTTGAATCCCTGCGATGGGGTGAGCTCCCGCTACTCGGTTCCTGCTCCTAGCAGTTCAAAAGCACGTCAAAGTGCAAGGAGATAAATAGGTACCACTCCGGCGGGAAGGTAAACGGCGTTTCCGTGCGCTGCTCTGGTTCGCCAGAAGCGGCTTTGTCATGCTGGCCACATGACCCAGAAGCTGTACGCCGGCTTCCTCGGCCAATAAAGCGAGATGAGTGCCGCAACCCCAGAGTTGGCCACGACTGGACCTAACGGTCAGGGGTCCCTTTACCTTTTCTATGTTGCTGAAGCATTAATGAGCATTTGCTTTCAACATAACATGTGGTGTGGCTATTTGTGAACTAGGAGGATTGCAGGAAAAACCCCAAAAGCAATTGTCCGTGAATTTGTTTCCTTTGTGGCACTGTGTGAGCAACCAAACTGGTGCACCAAACCTATAGAGAAGCAGCTTAGGTGAGCATGTAAACCAATGCTGAAAGTGGGCAAGGGCAGAAAACAAAGAGTAGGCATCCTTTCCATTTTGAGATATGCCTAGATAACTACAGAACAGCAAGCATCTCAAGTCAGCATGGGTCCCTGTTATTGAGGATGTGAGGAAGCAGCAGTTTCGATCCTGCAGTGGGTTTGCCGCAATCAATCCTGTTTCCATTAAACTGCAGTTACACTTCCACTTAAACCTACATGGTTCATCTTGCTATTTGCTATGGCCGAAACATACATAATTATTTATTTTACTTAATCTCAATGCAAGGGAAACGCCAAAAATAATGTGATAAATATAAATATTTTCATAATGTTTGCTCACTAAAGCAGCTACACCAAACATGGCTGAATTCACTTGCACGATTTCCATACCTGACATCTAAAGAACATGGAACTGTGGGAATTTCTGCTCCCATTTCCAGTGGAATTTACCAATATCTCTACCTGTTACACAGTTTTATGAATCATTAATACAGCCTTTTCTATTCTCAGGAATAATTTGCCCACATTTAAAATATAAATATGAGACAATCTTGGATCCTTTTTTGAAGATTAACCTACTGGAGAGAACTGGAAAGTGCTTACACAACCTGAGTCTTAACATTAATAGCCGTAAAGCTTTGAAAGTAACTTCAGAACCAATCTGTTATCATTTTAATTAAATGACAAAATGCCAGAGTAGGGAAGGAAAGAGTAATGATCACTTATCCGTTTCTGCTTTGGGGACCCTCAGAGACCAGCTTTGTTGCCACCAGGTATGAGCTGGTTCAATACGTTGTCCTCCCTTTTATGTATGTGGTGTGGATTTCCCCACCTCAGGTTGACACAACTGTACACCAGCTTTCTGCAGCTCTTGTACTCTGGTCTTATTTCTGTCAATCGACTTGATTATCCTTCTGATTGCCACTTGATCAGTCGTCAGCTTGCACTTTCATTGGCCAAGCTTCCTCCCTGTTTTGTTTTAAGCAACCCAGGTGAGTTACTTAAGTCCACCCTTTGAGTTTCATAGAATTCATAGAATCGTGGAGTTGGAAGTGACCCCGAATATCTAGTCCAGCCCCTTGAAATGAGGGAGTATGCAGTTGTCCTGTACGAGGATCGAACCTGCAACCTTGGCGTTATCAGCACCACGCTCTGACCAACTAAGCTATTTGACCTGGCACCATTCCTGTATGTTTCTACACACCAGGCAAAAACATCCTTCTTCCCCCAGGCCTTTGTGTCTTCATTTTCTGCTTATCTTTCTAGTGGAGTGGAGTTGGATCTGTTTTATATATAAAGGAATATTAAGGATATTTTAGGTTGTTTCATCCTCAGTTTTAATGTTGATTTTTGTAAGTCGCTTTGAGTTTCAGTTTTTGAAAGAAAAAAAGAGAGAGGGGCCAATGCAAACAAAAAATAAGCCTTACATTTTGATTATGCAACTTACAGAGTTTCTTCAACGTTTGCAAACCTAATAACCTTCCGTGAGTGTGTTGGTGCCCAAAGGAAGTGCTAGATGGCAAATGGCAAGTTGCAGAGTTTGTCCTCTGCTTGCAAGGGGTTTTTCAAATCATGCTTGAATATCGGAGCACAGCAGGAAGTAATGTAAATGCCTGATTATCTTAACCTATTAACATTTAACACACACACACAAATTATTTATAGACCCTCCAAGTGCCCCTATTTTCCAGGGACGGTCCCGGATTTACAGAAATAGTCCTGGTTTCCGATGTGACCCCGGAATGTCTAACTTTTCCTTAGGATGCTCCTATTTTCATTGGATAAATGTTGGAGGCTGTGGAATTACACAACCCCTGAGCCAAGGAGATAAATAACTATACAGCTTTTAGAAGACGTCTGAAGGCAGCCCTGCATAGGAAATTTTGTTAATGTTTGATGTTTTCTTATGTTTTTATATATATGTTGGAAGCTGCTCAGAGTGGCTGGGGCAACCCAGCCAGATGGGTGAGGTATAATAATAATAATGGAACTGGACATTCCTATTTTCATCAGAGAAATGTTGGAGGGTATGCAGATGCGTTTGGCTGCCATTATTCACATGTGCACACTGAGAACTACACTCTGTGTGCCTGATAAGTGGATTCTAATAACCCATTAAAGTTACACCATAATAAAGACCTTAAGGTGCCACAAGGCTCTTTGCTTTGTTTTCGCATAGCAGCGTTACACTGTCTGGGTTTTCCCCGAGATTTTCTATCGTTTCTGTTAATAATGCTCCATTTATTTGCCTGCTGGATTCAAACTGGAGAGAGGGGGTTGGGGGGAGAGAGACAGAGAGAGAGAGAAATTTACCCGTTGGCCAATTCCACCACATTGTAACGTAAACGCTGCCGCTCTCGCATTAGTTTTCCGTCGCAGCATCTTGGCTAGTTTTGTGCGCCGGGTCCCAGCACAATAGTTGGGGGATGTTTGCACAGTGACTCAGTTAAGCTTGCTGGTTAATGATGTGTGAGATCTTTGCACTGATCTTACGTTGCGGAGCGCTCCCCGTGCCAAAATTTTGTAATCTGTGGGTAAGGGTATGTGCGCGCCTTTGCATGTGTTTGTTTTGTCCCCCTTGGCTTGTTTTGGCTGCCTGTTGTAAGAATTAGCAGATGTTTCCGTTGATTCACGACACTTAGTGCCACCTAATGGAACTGGCACTTCAGTTGCCTGGCACCAGATGCTTGCTGGGTAGCGCGCATGTTAAAAGAGCCCTCATGCCGGGAATGCAAATGTTCTTCGGAGGGCCATGGCTTCCAACGGCAAGGGAGGGGCTGTGGCTGAGCGCCAGAGCACATCCTTTTCATGCAGGAGGTCCCGACAGCATCTCTAGGGTCAGGCTGAGAATGTGCCCTCTCTGAACCCCTGGTGAACCACTGCCAGTCTGATGGACCAATGGCACTGTGATAATGGGTGCCACCAAATGCTTAGCATTGTTTAGATGTGCAGCCCCCAGCTTTGATCCACGCTTCGCATTCTGCAGCTCTCCCCACCTCAATCAATCAGTTTATTACAGTCATAGACCAGCAGTCAGAGAATAGAACATTAAATGGATTAAAAAACAACAACCTGATAATTAAAACAGATAAAAACTAAAAACAAATAAAAACATTCAGTTAAAACAACTGTAAGAGGCTGCAGAGTAGACGCCTCTGAAATAGAGGACACTCACAGTATTAGAAACTGATGTGCAAATATGGTTAAAACCGACAATTAAAACAATGTACAACAATAAATTTAGGCACACTGTGCAACAATAAACTATCCCAGGGAGCTGACTCAGAGTCACCCATGGAACCGGGTTTGGGGATTTTCATGCTGGACTATTTTGAGTTGGGCGGTGGTCTGCGTCTACAGATTTGCACACAGAATCTGGCGACCATCCAGGTCTTCTTCTGGTCTTTGCCTAACAGCAAAAGGTCAAATTTTTGCTTTTGCGGGAGGTCGGCGAGCCTCACCAGTAGGGGATCAGTGAACTTACTGCGTGCCTCTTCGTAAAAGGGACATTTAAAGAACAAGTGTTCTGGGCTTCCTATCTCTCCCAGTGGACAGGTGCAAAGTCTCTGGGCATAGGGGACTGCTCTCCCCACCTTAAACCCTTTCCAGTCCAACACAGATGGGAAGGAAGTGACTGACCAAGGCTAGAGAGCAAGTCTGCAACCGAAAATTGCTAAACTTGGTTAGTGCATATTTTAATTCCAGTATGAAGATTGGGAACTAAATCTTACCCACACTTACCTGGAGGTAAGTCTTGAGAACACTCTGTTGTTCTTGAAGATGAAATGATAGTACAGTAATAATAACGCACCATCAGAGTGGAAAGAAGACCTGTCCCTGCTTTGATGAGGAAGCAGAGGAGAGGGAAGGAAGTGGACAGAGGAATATTCAAGGTAGCAATATTCAAGGTAGTGTTGGGGTTGACCCATTGCATATGTAGTGGAGAAAGAACAGAGTCTCTCCAGAGATAAGAACTTTGGGCAGTGGAAGGTATTGGGGCTGGAGGAGCAAGGATCACAGAATTGGCAGCTTGAGGGAGCAGGGATCACCTCTCAAGGGACCAGATTTAGCTAAGAGGTGACTAATTGCTCAGCCTAACCTAGATTTATAAGCATTTCATGAGCCCTGCTTGATTTATGAGCTTTTCATGAGCTCTATTTCATGAGGATCAAATGCAACCATTCGTCCAGTTCAGATTTTAGTGGTTCATCATTCATGCATTTGCAGCATTATTTTTCTGTGTTACTTTTAACACACTGCGCCATGTTTTTGTCCGATCCGTAGCATAAATGAATGGATAAAGCAGCAGCTGTAGCAGACTTCAAGCTCACATGATCAACTAGGTTGCTCAATTCTGTTCACTTTCAGAAACAAACTTGCCTAACCCACACTTTCTGGAAGAACACATGAACTGAAACACAACCATCCTTCAAAATTCACAATTCCCCCCTGAACAGAGTTGTTCCACCAGGCCTTTGGTCAGGGCCCAGCCTGACTCCCACCTCCGGCAACCTGCACAGAACTTTGCTTAACGGTTGCCATTAATTTGATTTTAATTAATTTTATAATGAAATGTTTTAGAATGTTGGATTATTTGATTGTTTGATTATTTGTTTGTTGTTAGCCGCCCTGAGCCTGGCTTTGGCTGGGGAGGGCGGGATATAAATAAAATTTATTATTATTATTATTATTAATTTTGCAGTGTTGTTCTGCATGTACAAAATGCATGTATTAACTTACGGTGTGCATATAAATACACATATTTGTGAAGATAACAAACTAATATGCACTATATTAGAGAAAATTGCATGCAAAATGTGTGTATTTCTCAAAACTGCATGCAAAAGTGTGTTTGCGATGATAAATTCTCACTAGAAGTATCTGAGAGACACACACAGACAGAGAAGGGTGAGCGAATTAAAGGAATCATTGGCATGTGCCCATTTGACACTTGTGGTTTAACTTCTTTTCTCTGGGCTGCTGCCATTGATCTTTCCCTCTCTGCTGATGGCAATTGGAGATGGGCAAAGTTAGCTGTGGATGGTCTACCCCAAATCTGGTGCTCTCCAGATGTTTTGGACACCAACTTCCATCAGCTCCAGCCTGCAGCTTGGCCACGTATCATCTCAAGCACCATGAATGAAGTCCAAAAAGTAGCCTTTAGTCGTGTTTCTTTCACACAGGTAATCTTTCACAGGAAGTCTCCTCTAATGTTGCTATCACTGTCAAGTGAAACGTGCAGCGGCGATTGTACTACTACTACTACTACTAGTAGTAGTAGTAGAAGAAGAAAGAATTATTACGGAAGAGGTTTGCAGATTGCCGTAGATGTCACACTGTATTGTTTCTTGGAATTAAGTAGGACAAGGAAGGTTAATTGCAGTATTAAAACACAAAGGATCATTTAAATACCGTCCACTTCAGCAAATACCGTTTATTAGGATTTCCTACAGCAATTAATAACACAACATGATCAAGAGGGATGGAGCGACGCTCGTTTGAAGGAAGGTTGTAGCACGTGGGACTTTTTAGTTTTGAGAAAAGGAGAGTTAGAAGCGACATGATAGAAGTTTATAAAACTGTGCATGGAGAAAGCAGATAGAGAACAGGGAAAGCTGTAGTTCGGGCTAAGTGCCTCCAATCTGGGGAAGTCCCAGTGATTGATGTGCATATATTTATTATTTTTATTATTTTTATTTTTATTTGCAGGAACTAAAACACAAATATAAACCCTATTAGTGCCTGGAACCTTTCACATATCTAATACAATTAGACAGCCTTATTCAGTTATTAATTAACTCCAGGATGGTAACAGCGGGGCTTCCTCCAGCAAGTATCTTCTACTGCCAATCAGATTGAATCTAAATGGGATATATGTTGTTGTTGTTGTTGTTTAGTTGTTTAGTCGTGTCCAACTCTTCGTGACCCCATGGACCAGAGCACGCCAGGCACTCCTGTCTTCCATTGCCTCCCGCAGTTTAGTCAAACTCATGCTGGTTGCTTCAAGAACACTGTCCAACCATCTTGTCCTCTGTCATCCCCTTCTCCTTGTGCCCTCCATCTTTCCCAACATCAGGGTCTTTTCCAGGGAGTCTTCTCTTCTCATGAGGTGGTCAAAGTATTGGAGTCTCAGCTTCAGGATCTGTCCTTCCAGTGAGCACTTGGGGCTGATT